CAGTTTTAAACATACTTTACTCAACGGAACTTTGTAGAGAGCGTGCTTAGGACCACATGCAAAGTCAGGTTTCCTGAGATTCAAGATACATAAATAATGAAGAGATTGGCATATTACTTTTCAAGAATGTCAATGAAAAACAGCAGACTTAGAGATCAAGGAAACCACCAACTGTTTGCAAGAGAAGTCAGTTTTTATTCCCTCAGATTAGAGCAATTGCAAAATTTGCTTGGATTTAATTTTGTCCTAAAACTAGCAGAGGCGCATGTACATTTTATTTTGCTACTTTGGTTAGTTGCATAAGAATAAACAAAGGTAATGTTTCTTTTGATTGCCTTGAATGAAAGGCAATCTGCTGATTTGACATTCTGAACCTTACTTTAAGTAAGGTATCCCCCCTCCCAAATATGGGGCTCAGAACAGTTGCCTTATCTTAAAAGAGGTCTCAATGACTTACACACATTCTACAAACTAAGTGTGTGGCTAAAATTAATATCTAAGAATTGTCTTTCAGATCCTCAGGAAATGCAGGGAAATACTTCATTGTTTGCTGTTGCTAAATTTCAAGGTATAGCCAACTTCTGTTGTAGAATTGCTTCCTTAAGAGTTATGGGAGTTTGGCGGCTGTTTGTAGCTTCAGCAGTCACTGATGGCCCTGACAAAAGGTGTAAAGAGGAAGTTTGTCTACAACAACTTCTGCAGTGACTGGGGTCCTAAAATAGAAAACCGGAAATGGTTAGAGCTGTTTCTGCAATTAGGCCCACCCATGATGAGAAAGGAAACTTTTAGTCCTCAAAAAAAATCACTAGTAGAATCATTAGGTGTTGTATTTTGAATGGACACATGATCAGACGCCTTTTGCAAAACATCCAGCATGATCAGTTCAATTATATTTTCCATGATCAAAATGTTATATGGATTGAAATTTATTAGGCCACATTTTGGTTTTGAAAATCTAATGCAGTAATGACTTCTGTAGCATTGTATATACAGTAATTCCCAGCAAGGTAAGGATTTAAGTCTCTAATAAACGTTTAAAGAAAGTGCTGTATTGCTTCACCTTCATGAGAGAAGAAAGGTTTGTTGGTAGCATATTATTCTGGGGCAGTGGCACAGTTGAACAGTGCCATGTTTTTAGACCTCCTAGCTTGTACCAAGGACACTGGAAGGCTGTCATTTACCCTTCCCCTATATTGGCTTTATCCCCCTCCCCTTTTCTGCATGGAAAATTAACTTCCAGCACCAACACAGCAACACCAACACTCAAACTGTTTTTGCCCTTTTTGATCCCCTCCATAGGGCTGCAGGGGGATTGACACCTCCACACCCCCAGCAGCCAAAGAAGGAGTGCCCATTTTCATCATTTAGTAAGTTGTTTCCACAAAATGGAGGGAATTAGTTCACTAGAGAAGTGTTACTCTTATCCCAAATAAGCCTACTCTAGCCTTGGTCTTATCTCTTTTAGATACATTTGCAGGGTCAATCAGCTGGGTTTAAATAGGTATCTCCATGACCCAGTTAAGCATGTTGTGCAAAAGGCCAGTTATTCTTCCTCTCAATTGCTATCCAATGGCAGGCATCCTAAGTAGAGGCTGCTTAATGCAGTTTCCAAACTTGGCACCCCCTAAATGGCTTGAAATACAGGTAGTCCTTGACTTAAGCCATTTGTTTAGTGACTGTTCAAAGTTACAGTGGCACTGAAAAAAGTGACTTTTGACCATTTTTCACATTTACAACTGCTGCAGCTTCCCTGTGGTCACACGATCAGAATTCAGATACTTGGCAACTGACAATGTATTTATGATGGTTGCTGGGTCCTAGGGTCACGTGACCATATTTGCAACCTTCTGACAAGCAAAGTTCATGGGGAAGCCAGATTCACTTAACAACTGCATCACTAACTTAACAACTGCAGTGATTCACTTAAGAACTGTGAAGAAAGATTGAGGCAAGAAAGGTGAGGCAAATGAAGCAAAATTCACTTAGCGACTGTCTTGCTTAGTAATGAAAATTATGGGCTCAACTGTGGTCATAAATAAAGGACTACCAATTGTGGTCATAAGTCCCACCACCCATAGTGCTGCAAGCATGCCAGATAGTTGCAGTCCAATCTAGGTAAGAAACGCTTGATCAAGTGAGATGCATGTTGTAAACTTTGTAAAGTATTTGCTTAGAACTGAAAGGATTTCCTTCAATCACTCTCACAGAGTCTTTAGGAAGAATTAGAACACCTGAACCATTTCCGATCATTTCCCACCATTTCCCAATATACCTCAAAGTACTTTGGGGTGGAAATATCTTGTTTGTTTTTTCTAACTGCTTTCCTGGTGTCTGGCAAAATGATAGGTTCCCCCCCCCCCATATCAGTGAAACTTGCAGCTTATTAACTACATAAGTCTCCTGATTTTTTTCTGATGGGAATCAACTCTTACACGTGGTTTTGTGAACCGCTGAAAATTATTTGGTACTTAAGATGAATAATGAGTGAATTACTTGGGAAGACTAAAAACAAAATGGAAGTACCTGGGCACATTATCCCACATCTTTGTTTGCAAACCTCTAACTTTTTATAGCCACACAATACTTTAATAACCCAGTTATTAAAAAAAAAATCCCAGGACAGTGGAAGTACCATAAATGTACAATATGGAGGTAGGGAAATTAGCTAATGAGTTGTATGCCAGAGCATACAATGAGCCCCGAACAACATCTAAATGTGACTAATTTTAAATTTAATAAATGTAATTACTGATTTTGATTATTATTTTTGTCACATTAAAAATTGTACTTTGATAGCAACATCTAAGGGAGCTTGGAGGGAATACCAGTCTTGAAACCTTGGGATCGCTACATGCCTATCCCTGTTTTATGCATTCATTATATGAGTCTGTGAATCCTAATGTCTCAAAAACATCCTCAGAGTTTATATTGCTTTTGTTTCACAAGTTACTTCTCTAGAAATTTTTAAGCCCATGTCTTGTCACTTGAATTCTTGCAAGTATGTATATGCGCATATTGATATTTACAAGGAAAGTGTTAGCACATTTTGGAACAACCACTGGTATGAATCCACCCACATTTCAAAAGATTGTTGTGGTGGCACTTCTTGTTTTGCAGCTGAGGAGAAACTGATACCATTATCTTTGCTTGGGCTCACTGGGTTCATTCTCAAGCATGAATGCATGAATTCCATAGTGTAGCCCAGCCTGTATGCTCTGGGGAGGCCAGGTGATGTGAGGCTGCGGAATAGCTAACAACACAAGCATTTTACAAGGTTGGCTTTACCATTAAGCTCTTGGTCCAAAGGTGCTGGATAATTGCCTCAAAACTGGGCCAAATACACTGGAGTGTGGAAAATATGGCAGGGGGACAAAGCCACTGAATCCATGTGGCTTCTAACAGGCTGGTGGTACCTTCTTCCAAAGAGGTTCAGGATGAAATTGGGAGAGGGAGAGCCTGTGACAAGAAAATTTGCATATCAGGAGACTCTGGAGATCACTTTGAATGTATTATCAGATACTGCAGGTATGATAATATCTGACTTGACTTTACTGGCTTCAAACGTGTTAAGAGATCTGTAGTTTCAGGGCAAGAGGGAAGAGACAATACATTCCATTTTCTAATCCTTTCAAATATTTGCAGGTATTATCAACACTGGTGAGGCAGGTAAAGCAAGTCTATCTTAGGTATGTTTTTACATGGATGGAAATTGGCAGGTTTAAATGGCCTATTTTAGAGATCTGGCTGGGTATATAGATCCCGTAATATAAATGATTAGCTTATTGTTGTTTGGCTGTCATGAGTTTCCTTATGCTCTGTATAGCATACTAAGGTAAGTGAGACCTTCTTGATCTATGGCAGTCTCAGAGTATTGTATTCAAACTCTAACCATGCTGTATTTTCTACTGCCAGACCTTCACAATATCATTTCCTATGTTTACTTTGGAAGCCCTTTCAACATGCTTGGAAGCTAGGATGGATCTATAGCAGTGTATTTACAATTACAGGACAAGTATCCCATAGGTAACAGTCTGTTCATCATCTTAGCTAACTCTGTTCTGCCTGTCAGCATCCTGAATAGCAATGGTTTATGCTACAGCTGGCCTCACAATATTTAGTGTTGTTGTGGAATGTCGCACATTCTAAGACAGCCTTCCTCTAATCTGATGCAGTCCAGCTATATTGACTCCAAATTCCTACTATAGTCATATGATAAAGCTACTAAAAGGATTGTAGTTCAGCTCATGTAGAGGGTGGCAGACCAGGAAGGCTGTTTTAGGCCTGAGAACACTAGCCAAAAAAAGTGCACAGGTAGTCCTCGACTTACAACAGTTTATTTAATGACAGGTCAAAGGTACAACAGCACTAAAATAAATGACTTATGACCATTTTTCATACTTACAACTGTTGCAGCATCCCCATGGTCACATGATCAAAATCCAGATGCCTGGCAAGTGGTTCATATTTATGACGGTTGCAGTGTCCCAGGATCATTTGATCAGCTTTTGCAATCGTGTTACTAACTTAACAAATGCAAACTTAACTTAACAATCGTGTTACTAACTTAACAATCGTGTTACTAACTTAACAAATGCAAACGATTCACTTAACAACTGTGGCAAGAAACATCATAAAATGGGGCAAACTCACTTAACAAATGTTTCCCTTAGCAACATAGATTTTGAGCTCAATTGTGGTTCGTAACTTTTTCAACAAAGGAATGGACAACACTGACGGACTGAATTCTCACTGCAGCCTCCAATATGTTTGTAAAAAGAGCTCTGGAGGATTACAGTGCTGAGGAGTTTGGGTGGGGTGGGGTGGGGGGCTGTAGCAGCAGGAGGGAAAGAAAATCTCATTTCATGCACTTGTGTGAGTATGGATGTAATTCTGAACACTGAGCTGCTGTGGGAGGCAAACCATTTCATCCTTTGCTCTTCCACGCAGCAGTCCACAACCTCTGCCTTACACCATCATCTTATTTTGCAGAAGCAGCACAGGAACTGAGGCCATGCTGAGTGAAACTGAGACCTCCGTTCACCTAGCTCTCCAAAAAGCGTGGCTACAATTAAGCTTGCAATCAACTCCTTTAAACACTGTCCAGATATGGAAAACCCAGGTCTGTGCTTGGTATTAGAGCATGACATTCTAATTAGGAAAAGTGAAATGGTTCCAGTTTTCTTTTGCTATCCTTCCCTGTTGGGGGAAAAAGAAAAAAAGAAAACACAGGAGAGTGTCAAACACAAGGAACAACGTTGTCAGCTGATCAGATAAATTTATTTACTGCTATTCGCCTATTTACAAAAATCTCACCAGGCTAACAGCACTCTCAAGCCCTTCAGGCCTTTGTGGGTGTGTGTTAGGTCTCTGCTGCTTCCTCCCTTGCACAGATTCCAAGCTAGCCAGGCTATAGTTCCACTCCCAACCTCAGTTGCCGATTCCGTCACAACAGCTAGCTATGCTTAAACACAAGGAGCACCCAAAGAGTCTTAGGGTGCCTTGAAATTAAGCATTATTTATACTTAAAGACTGCATTAGAAAACTATTATAGGCTTGATTAAGCTCACTTACTATAAAAATGAACATTGTTGCAATTTTCTATCCTCTTTGTATTCTGTCCTCTTTTTACAATACGTAATACGTATAAACCTATTGATAGTTCATGGCTGATGGGTTGTTTAAATAAAAAATATCATTTTTTTTAAATAAATTGAATTGTTTACACATGGTACCCTTGAAGTTTTATTTGTAAATAGTGCCCAGGAAAGAAAGTGGAAAATACTGCTGAGAATATTTTGATTTTATCCATGTTCCACAATATTGATTTATTAGTCATAACTATGGTACTGCTTAGCTTAATGTACATATCTCAGATAGGAGCTAACAATACTGCTGATATATTACCAGGATTTTGCCTTTGTTGATAGGGGTTATGTATATGTAAACTTATGTAAGTTTGTATGAAACTAAAAAATTAGAAATCACTGAACCGCATGTTGATTATCTCTTCTGCTTCAAGAGGTTGAGTCAGACTTTCTCCGAAGTGTGCATGCCCTTCTTCGGGAACTTGATGGCCATCATCCAGCCTTCCAGAGTGAGAGAGGTAAGATCACTCCAGATTGCCAGCCTTCCAAGAGATTGGTTGCTGTGTGCTTACACTTCCATTCTGTCAAGCACGGGAAATCAGGAAATCCAGGCAGTTCAAATGAATATAAAGGTCTGTTGCTAATTTATTAACCAATAAGGTAAATTAGTGGTAGATAAGAGCAATGGGATTCAAGATCGGCTGGACTTAGATTTCTTGTGGGCGTAAAGGAACTCAAGACTGAAGACGCATTTGACCCCTCCCTCAGGCTCAGCTTGATCATCTCCTACACATTCTGTCTACATAAGCTGGAGCAAAGAAAGCTTGACTCTCCATGCTAGGATGTCATTCACTTGGAATTTGTTTTTGGATACCTTACTTAGTGAGATTCTTGCTCAAAGATGAAGTAATTGATCTGATCCTAGAAGACAGATCTCTGCCCATTAAATTCTTCATTACCAGTAAAACTACAGAAAAAAAGCAATTGCTCCTTGTCAAAGAACATGCTTTGTAAAGATGAAATTTCCATCTGTCATCTCTAGTTGAGATATTTCAGGCAGAGAGATAGCAGAGCTTTGCCTAAAGAAAAGAGAACTGCCAAATGGCTGGGTAGAGCATTGATCAAATCCAGTGGATTCCCAGTTGGTTTGGCTTAATGTATGCTAGGAATAATTAACCCACATAGGGTAGGTTCACACAACATGCTTAAGTGGATTACAAGCATGTCATGAATAAACTTTCAACCTAAAATAGCTCTGGAGTTGTCTGGGGACAAATTGACTTTCTCTGGTAAGCTGTATCCTATGAATAGAGAACAGATGGTTAACATAGAGTTAACCCACTCTTCTTATCACCCACCCAGAAATGAAAGTGTAGACTCTAGAGCAATATCAGGGCTTCTTTGGGAAGTAATTCTCTCTGTTATTTTCATTTCATAGTCAAATGGGGGAGAAAAAAGACACAAAAATAGTTAAGTTTCTGTCCACTGTGCTTCTGATTACAATTGGCTCTTGAGGAATTTCTTCCCAGGTTTTTCAGAGGAAAGTTAAAAAAGCAAAAAATGACAATCTTACTACTTTCTATGAAGATAGCCACTCTTCATCTTTGGTCATCAGTTCACAATGGTGATATATTTGCCTGGATTAGTTGTGTTGTGTGAAGATAACTGCAACAAAATATTAATGACAGATCACGGTGGACTCCCAACCAGTGTCAATATCCATTTCTCTTAGCTTTTTTTAGACTGCAATCTGGCCATTTGTATGACAGGGTTATTGCTGTTCTATAGCATTACAAATGCTGTATTGGTTAACTTGAAATACTGAAGTTAAATGAAGGCAATGTAATGTCTCAAAGGTGCTTTTCAAAAGGCATCTGGATTTTCTTGTTTTTTTTAAAAGTTTCACTTCTCATCCAAGAAGCTTCTTCAGTTCTTCAATTCTTAGATGAGAAGCAAAACATTTTAAAGGAAAAAATAAAGAAACTCTAGTTGCCTTTTGAAAAGCATCGTTGGGACAATCATGATTGCAAGACTGAGAATCTTTATAGACAAAAGGCAATGTAAGTGTTTTTGTTCAGATTTTTTTTTCATGCAGTACTACAGCTTTTTAAAAACATCTTGGAAGCAAATTCGTATTCTAGGTGGAAATGAACACCCCAGTTTTAAGGACTGGAAAGAATTATTAATATGTTTAATTGTACTTAAAGTTAATGATCACATGGATGAGCCCTTACCTGTAAAACATATTGAAAGACACCTACATCCTGAATGGACAGCTTTTCCTGAACATATTACAATCCAGCCTTCCCTCTTCTATGAATTCCATTCTTTTATATACTGTATCCTTGGATTAATAAATGAAACGTTAATAGATACTTTGATTTTGATCTCGCAGGGATGCTGAGATGGACCTTGCACAAGAAAATGGACCGGAATCCCCAAAATGGAATCCTCTGGATTAAAATTTTGGTGAAAGAACTTGAAAGAGTAAGAATGAGAACTACTGTGATATAATAGTAAATGTGTTGGATTAGGATCATGGAGACTTAGGTCAAGTTCACCTTCAGCCATGGAAACTCAGTGGGTGACTTTTGTTACTCAGTTGCTCTCTTGTTATCCAACCTGCCTTAGCAGCTGGTTGTGGTTTTTTTTTTTTGAAATAAAATAAATTGAGATTCCCACGTAAGATGCCTTGATCTCCTGAAGAAAAAGTGGAATGTAAACAATCCAGTTAATAGGCAAGTGACCTTAATTTAGGTTTGGGGGTAGTCTTGGTAGCCCAGACAGACTTGATCATGAATATAAAACTATGTTTTATGGTCAGTCCTTACTCTTCTGCATTTAGAAAGAATGAAATTGGCTTTCTGTCAGGGACCTTCGGCATCATAGCCTCAGAGAGATCTTAGCAATGCTGTCTTCTCTTGCAGCTGACACATAGGGATAGCTTCTCTGGGGTCCTTGGTGCTCTCTGAGCTTGGTGGTTTTCTTATGCAGACATTTCATTACCGAACTAGGTAACATCATCAGTGCTACTTATTGTCAGCTAGAACAGGAGTGAACAACTCTTGAACTGGGAACACATGCAGCCACTCCCCTAAAATTGTACTGCTGAAATTCAGTTACAAATTGTGAAAATTCAGCCCACAGAATGTTTTTTGATCCATTATTCTAAAAAGAAATAACAAAAGGGTCTAACCTAAATCAGTCTAAGCAAATTTATCTTACTTTTCAAAATCTCACAATTACAAATTAAGGAGACAATCATTTTCGTCCTACCTCTTTGTGTGTGCAAAGTTCCTAAAAGTTTTTTTTTTTAAGTAGCCCTTGGCTTAAAAAAAAAAAAAAAGGATGTCTGCATTGCTCTAGAATCTTTCTTGAAAGTAGCAAAACAAGACATGCTGCTTACCAAATCCCAGTGTAAAAGCAATTTTGCACTCTTTCGAGGTCAAGAATTCATAGCATCAACATCTAATTTGCAGGTCTATTTCCTTTCTGATTGCTTTATCTCAGTTTATCACACCTCCCATCATCTCTGCAGAGTTGACCGGAGACCAATGTTCCTTAATTTGTCTTTTCTATCTGCTTTTGCTCCTTTTCATTCCTAGCCCTTAATCTTGAGAGTAAAGAATCTTGAGTTTGGTTAGAGACAGATAATTATCAGTATTCTTTTCCCACAATTCTGGCAGGCTCATTTGAATATACATTCATCTCACAGTTTCCACTGAAAGCAAATCTTCAGTGTTTTTGTAAAAATTCAAAATTTAATTGTGGAATTGTGTCAGTGGGAAAAAAATAATACATTAAGAGCAACTCTGTCTTTGGCATAGTATCATTTTTTTAAAAAAAAATCTGTTTACAATAAATCCTTCCATATGTTTTATGATTAAAAAAACTTTTGTCGTTTTTTAGGACCAGTTTTCTCAAATACTATTCAACTTAGCTTATTCTCCTTTGGTTATGTGATATATGCCTAGCTCCTTCAAACTTCCCTTTAAACTACACATTCCTGTAGGTTTCAATCCTTCACCCCCTTTTATCAGAATGTATCAGAATAAGGAAGAGACCAGTTATTAAACAGCAGAGCACAAGGAGGTCTCATATTTTCTTACAGTTATAGTTATGCATTCTTTCAGAGGCATTGCAGCTGCAGTGCTCTGGCTGGCTGCCTTCCTCTCTTCTGTGATTTTATTTTGGGAAACATTGCCTCTCTTCTTTAGGAAATAATTCAATATTTAGAATATATTTAACGTAACTGTCTGCTTTTTCCAGGCAGAAAGATGTAACCATCAGAAGCACATCATCCCCCTGCTTCACACACTGATGTATACTCTGATCAAAGTAAGAACCTTATTTCTTCAGCACTGGGATTAATAGGTCAGAATGCGCTGATATCAGGCATTAATTTTGACACTGGGACTCCATATCCATTTCAAAGGGAGGAACTTATAAAGATTAGTTTGCTGTATCGCTATGTATATGCTATGCTCATTAATAAAAAGAGCTCTTAGTCTGGTGTGGTGGTTAAGGCATCCGGCTAGAAACTGGGTGACTGTGATTTCTAGTCCTGTGCAGCACAAATTCTTACACCCATGAGAATTAAATGTGCTCTTTCTGAAGGGTCGGTGACTTTAGGGCACTCACTGTCAGCCCTAGGAAGGAGGCAATGGCAAACCACCCTCAAAAAAACCTTGCCAAGCAGACTGCAGGAACTTGTCCAGGCAGTCTCCAGGAGTCAACACTGATTCGAAGGCACATTTGTGTGCATACACACAGATTAAGAATGCAGGGACTCTGATCTTAGGACAGGAAGCAGAGCTTTGTAAAGATGCCATGAACACTTTCATAATCAGCTTGCCTTGACAGATACAGATAATAGGATGCAGTATATTTATGAATGGCCATGCTGGCCCCTACTGTGCACTACATTATTCATTATATCAATGGGAAAAGAAAATGTTGTGATTTTGTGATTGTGTTTAGATTATCAAACGAAGTCATTACTAAAAGCCAACATGGGTTTGTCAAAAATAGATCATGCCAGACAAATCTTATTGCATTCTTTGACCAAGTGACAAAATTAGTGGATCAGAGGAATGCTGTGGATATAATTTATTTGGGCTTCAGTAAGGCATTCAATAAAGTAGATCACAACCTACTACTCGATAAGATAGAAAAATGTGGGGTAGACAGCATCACCACCAGATGGATCCGTAGCTGGCTGACTGGCCGTACTCAGCGTGTGGTCCTCAATGGAACCGCATCTACATGGAGGGAAGTGTGTAGTGGGGTGCCCCAGGGCTCTGTTCTGGGCCCAGTGCTCTTCAACCTCTTCATCAACGATTTGGACGAGGGGATAGATGGGGAACTCATCAAATTTGCAGACGACACCAAGCTGGCAGGAATAGCCAACACTCCAGAAGACAGGCTTAAGATACAGAAGGATCTGGATAGACTTGAACACTGGGCACTATCTAACAAAATGAAATTCAATGGTGAAAAAAGCAAGGTTCTACATTTAGGCAAGAAAAAACCAAATGCACGGGTATAGTATAGGGGGTACCTTGCTCAATAGTAGTAACTGTGAGAGGGACCTCGGAGTCCTAGTGGACAATCACCTAAATATGAGCCAGCAGTGTGCTGCAGCTGCCAAAAAGGCCAACACAGTGCTAGGCTGCATTAACAGAGGGATAGAATCAAGATCACGTGAAGTGTTAATACCACTTTACAGTGCCTTGGTAAGGCCACACTTGGAATACTGCATCCAGTTTTGGTCACCGCGATGTAAAAAAGATGTTGGGACTCTAGAAAGAGTATAGAGAAGAGCAACAAAGATGATTAGGGGACTGGAAGCCAAAGCATATAAGGAACGGCTGCTGGAATTGGGTATGTCTAGTTTAATGAAAAGAAGGACGAGGGGGGACATGATAGCAGTGTTCCAATATCTCAGGGGCTGCCACAAAGAAGAGGGAGTCAAGCTATTTTCCAAAGCGCCTGAAGGCAGGACAAGAAGCAATGGATGGAAACTAATCAAGGAGAGAAGCAACCTAGAACTAAGGAGAAACTTCCTGGCAGTTAGAACAATTAACCAGTGGAATAACCTGCCTCCAGAAGCGGTGAATGCTCCAACACTGGAAGTTTTCAAGAAGAGACTGGACAGCCATTTGTCCAAAATGGTATAGGGTTTCCTGCCTGAGCAGGGGGTTGGACTAGATGACCTCCAAGGTCCCTTCCAACTTTACTATTATTATTATCAGTAATGTAGACTACTTATAAATGGGAATTCTATAACCCTATCATAATCCTACAATCTGCTTTCTACTCATGTTTAACATAGTACCTGCAGCAGAAATTCTTACACCTCTGAGAATTAAATGTGTTTCAAATGAAGAAACTTCTGCTTGGACATTTACTGTGGGTTTTTTTTTCCAGGTGCCTTGCTTATCTGATGACCTATATGAGAGGGTCTATGATTTCTTCAAGAAGTTGCTTACTTTACCCAAGCCTTTCTGCACTATTGGTTTGGATTATGCTTGCCAACTGAAACTAGAACGCGCAATACCAGGTAGGCAAGCTTTATTTAATTTAGTTTGTTGTATTTGTTATGATTTAATGGCTATTTATTAATAAATACATACAATTAGCATCAAAGGAAAAGGGATCAGAAAATATGGGACAATTACGATGAACTATCCTTTAAATATGCAATGATGCATGGACCTCTCCCCAGGAATGCTTCATGAATAATGCAGGAAGATTACACAATAAAAGGCTTATCTGTAAGCATATTTCACACTTTCATTAAGACCGCTTTGAGATTATTTACTGTTCAAACTGTCCAGTAGCTCATGGTGGCAGTTTTGAGCTTTATTCCCTTATCCAATTGTTTATTAGTAGAATCAAAATCAGACCATGGACATTTGCATTTTGATTGCTGTGTATGTGCTTACCCACTAGGGATATTATACCAAAGGAAAGTCTCTGCAGAACAAGGTCTCAAAAATGACTCATTCCCTTATCAGGATAAGTAAGTATTCCACTTCCCATGTCTCTTTTGTGCCTAAATCTATCCTAAAATTAGGACTTTGTATCATTTGATGGGGCAGTAAACTCAAAAGTATATGAAAATGATTGGTGCTTTATGGTCATCAGGTTGAAAGAAGTTTTCCAAGTTGTTTATACCCAGGTTTTTAAGTATGCTTTGTATGTGTGTGATGTTACATATCTGTTGCAGAAGAACATCACTCTGACTCTTTAATATACCTTTACTTTGATTTCTATTAGTTAAACTTTGTAAAATTGTAAATAGATTTATAATTTGTGATAAAACGTCCACATGAAAATAAATTGCTAGATCACAAAGATCAAGTGTGTATACCAAGATGAAACCATTAATACTGAAGGGACATTAACATTACTGAACCTGGAATATTGTGGATTTAAGCATGGAATTGATTGTTTACAGAGGCCTTTAGTTTCCCATGCAGACCCTTGGATTTACTTTCATATCTGTAACTAATAAATTCTGCTTATGTAATATATATTAACTCTTCATTTCCTTAGGATTTTCATGTTTGTTGATCCAGATTTGCTCTCTGGGGCTGTGTGCCAAGCACTAGTTGATGAAATCAAGGCTGCTCAAATGTTCCAGTGTGCCAGGTCCTGCATGATCTATGTAATAGCGCATGCCTTCCAAACAGGCCTAAAGGAACATTGTGATATGAGGAACTTGCACGAAGTATTTCAGGTATTGTGAAGAAACAAGAAAGTTTTGGTTTTGCAGATTAATGATTGAATGAATGAAGTAACTAAAACTCCTTAAAGTAATAGTTTCACTCTAAATAGTATAGATGGAGATTTTTAACTTCCTTCTTTCTCAAAGTGCTGCATCAAGATTGGCTTTTCAGTTCATAGATAGATAGATCTTATATACATGTGTACTGTTCAAGGTTGCCCAAGAAAAACACAGAATTCCCTTACCTTCTTGGACATCACCTCACATAATATTCAATAGGCTGCGAACTGTAGAAATTGAAGTCTAACACTTCTGGAGGCTTTCTGCCTTTTAAAGAAAAAGAAATGTATTGGAATACATAGAAAAGACCGCATTTTTTTTCTTAAGGTTAAAAAAAAACCAGTTGTACTGGGAAATAGAAACAAAGCCAGTAATCCTACAGATAAAAGGCCAATTCTTGGAAATGTGCTTATTTTCCTGCAAACATTTAGCCCAAGAAGCTTTGATGATATTTAGCCACAAATCTGGTATACACTATGTACTCTAGATTTCTTTTGAAGCTAAACTTCACATTAATAGAAAATGAGCTGCATTGCAAAAGGTTTAGATTGTCTGCTTCCCTGCAAACATTTTGTGAAATAAGCATTTTTATAATTTCAAAGTGAAACTATTTTCTGTAAGACTTTATAATGACCGAGAAAAGTAGAGAATTAGATGTGGAATGGCTTACTGATCCACCTGAAAGTTTGATATCACATTGCATAAAATGTAGTAGGTTTTGCATCACTGAGTACAGTGCTAAAATATGGATTTTCCACATTAAAAATGCTCCCAACTTTTCTTAAACAAGCCTTGATAAATAACAGGGCAATCCTAAACATAGTTAAGGAAAATAATGAAATGGTGAACCCATTACACCTTCCAAAGCCTTGTTGACTTAAAGTGGAGACTGTGCTTGATAGGACTTTAGTTTTTCTTAATCTATCACCTCCCTCCACATTTGGATAAAATATGGCTTTATATTTCAGATGGTGAAATCGAGGAGTCCAGTGCTGTCCCCATTTCCAGAGATCATATGGATTTTGAATCTAGTATCTCTATAACTTTAGTCATCCTCCAAACACACCATTGGTGTTTGTGGGGCATATAAACCAGCACCTTCTGGATTATTTGAGGCAGGCAGAACCAGTTTCATCAGTAACAGACCATGATAATCGCAAAATGACATGCATCTGATACTAGCACACCAATGCAGCAATTATGTACTTGCATCACAATATTTGCATGACTCATGGTATTTCCATGATGCCATCACCCATGAGCCATTATTTACCTGTCCTGCATACACCTATATACAACATGTCCTGATTAGAATAATTCATTTTGCAATTGGGAAAATCTCTCTCCTAAACTCCTCAGCCAACCAATATTTTTTTTTACAAATTAAAATCTTCCTCTAATTTGGAATCATGGAGTTTTAAGTGGCCTCTGAGTCTCACTACTCTGTGCTGTGATCTGAATTAAGGTAGCCCTTAAAAATGATTCTCCATCCTCTGCTTAAACACCTCCAAAGAAGGAAATTGGTTTATCTGTTGAACTGATTTTTATGTTAGGAAATATTTGATAGCATTCAATTAGGAATATGACTTTCTCTAAGTTATATCCATACTTATAAGATATCCATACTTATGTGTCTTGTGCATGATGTATGGAACAATGTGGAACAATAAATAAGCATTTCTTATCCATCTTCTGTGTGATATCCTTTCAGGTATTTGAAGAATGCTATTGTATGCTCCTCAGTCCCTTTTTTCAACGCTAAACATATTTACCTTTATCCATAGGAATTAGTTTCTAGTCCTTTGATCATCCCAGTTATCCTTCTCTGAACTTGTTCTAATTTCTCTGAATTCTTCTTAAAGTGTGATGCCCAGAAATGGACAATAAGTGGGGAGGGGTCTGACTAAAGCAAACGTGATTATTTTCCATGATTGGTAAACTATTTCTATGGATGCAGCATAAAATTTCATTTGCCATTTTGGCAATTACATCACATTGCTAATTCATATTTAATTTCCAGTCCACTGTTATTTAATCTTCTCACAAGCACCATTTATGTTTCTAGTACTTTTATTGGATTGTCCTTCCTAAATTGCAAAAGTAATATTATGAAGTATTGATCATACAAAATTCCACTTAGGATTGCACATATTAGTGGCATTGAAAACTGATTGGTTATATTATTAATGCATATTAAAATCTCCTAAATGCTTGTATTCAGTGATGTAATCATCAAAAATGGACCAGTGTATTTGTCCCTTTAAGTCCCCTTCAGATTTTGTTTGAAATCGGCTTCTGTCTTTAATGGCAATAAAAACTATGAAATTTCAACATTGATTGGAGTAAGCTCTATTAAAATTAGTGGAAATGAGTTTTGAAAAAATGTGGATAGGATTTGCATTTCAACAAGCCATAATTAAAACAAGCTGTTTATTATTTAACAGGAGTAGGCAAAGAGAATCTTACAAAATATAATTACATTGTTAACCCTAGTTAAAATAATGTTTTTTTCATAAGCATATTACTGGGAAAAAATGAAACAATCCCAGTGGTCAAATCACTTCCAGAAATATGTCAGTTGGATCAAGTATTCCATGTTTGCACTTTCCTAGTGAAAAATTAGTTTTCTATTTAAAACTGAGTATTATGACAGTAGATCTATATAAACATCTGCTCACTTGATGATTGAATAAAGCTGAACACATTTTGCAAGCCATGAATTTCATTCTAGGAGTTTATCCTTATCTTTATCCTTGATAGGCAAAACCCTTAGATGAGATTGAACACTGTTTCCAAGAAGTGATGGCAGCAACTGAACATGCAGTTGAGGAAATGAATCTGGAATATAGTCGATATGTTGAGGCCCTTGAGAACATCTATAGCACATTGTTGAGTTCTTCGGAGAGAAGTAAGTGCAGCATTCTGGAACTTGGAAGAAGAAGGTCTTGGTTCCTGAGCTGTTTTTGGGAAGGTGGTTTGGGAATTTGTGATATACCCTCTTCTACATGCTTTATTTCTCTCAGTATGTGCAGCAGGATGAATATATCCAATCTGTTCCTCATATGGAGCTTTACAGTCCTTGGCAGCAAAAAGCAACAATGTCAAAATCAGTCCCATAAGAACTGTATTAGGTATTTTTCTTTTAAGAAAAAGAAAGCTAAAGCAGCAAAATGCCAACTGACATCACCCAGCAAAATGCCAATAACTGGGTACAATTAATTAGGTATTCTTATCCCCAAATCTGAATTTCACTCTCCTTCTATAAGAATGCTGCTGCCTATAAAATAGCTACTCATCTCACATTTAATCAGATCTTTCTGTGTGATTTTTCTACATGAGCATCATTTTAGAGAACTCAATGTGAGGTTCCATAACCCAATGCAGAGCAAACACCAGCCTTTCCAACATTCTCACAGACTAATTTTCACAAATTTTCTGATCTCTTTCTAAGTATCAGGTTTTTTTGACTGGCCAAAACTATAACCTGAAATGATGTATAATCAGCAATTTGTTTGTATTTTACAGGGGTGAAGAAGTCTTCAGTAGGCAAAAGTTCAGACATCCCTTTGCCCAATCCTAAAATCAGCTTCCACCTGTGGACTGATGAAGACCAACTTTGTAAGTATCTGAACTCTGACAAAGGTTATGGAACTGTAGCTAACTGGCAGAAAAGTAAAACTGTTTGTGGTAGAGTCCCCACTTAGACTTAGCCAACTATCACAGTGTTGATATAAAGATCATGATAAATGGCTTTATATTATCTCAGCGATGGCTGGATGATGCTAGGAAGCCTATAAGACACTGTGGGTGGAGGGTGTGGGTAAGGGATAACCACAATCTCATTAGTTTTTTTTTCTGACAGAGAAGCAGGGCAACTTCAATGCTTAAGAAGGCTTCTTAAGGGCTTAAGGTGAACAAGGAAGCTCTGAATCAGAAAGTTATTATTTGAAGGAAGCTGTGGATGCAAATGTCCTTGGAGATTCTCAGTCATCCAGATCATGGTTATCCCAAAGGTGCTTTTTCAAAAGGCAACTGGACTTTGTTTTCCCTTGAAGATGTTTTGCTTCTCATCCAAGAAGCTTCTGAGTCAGAACTGAAGAAGCTTCTTGGATGAGAAGCAAAACGTCTTCCTTTTGAAAAAGCACCTTTGGGACTTTGGATACAAATAAGTTATGTAACAGGAAAAGAAGAAGAAAATAAATAATGAATGGCAGATTGCATATCCATGTCAATACTGTGGGCACAAAAAAAGCTTTTCCAAGCGTGAATAGTGCAGCATGACAAAGGAAAGTAAATTGGAATGTTTTGATAAATTTCTGAATGATTTCATTTCCCCCATGAGTTAGAACAGTGGTTTGGATGCCATGTGAATGCTATTCAGGAAATACTGTATATTATATGAAAATGAATATATAGGCTTTATTTCCTTGATTAAGATATTAAAAAATATCTTAAGTGCATATTTGAAATGACTGTGAGGGGTAGTCAGACTCAGTATGTTTTATTCTGCTGTATTTTTTGTGTTTGAATATGAACACATTGAATAAATATTTGAAAGCCTGCCACATTCTTAAAGGAACAAAATGAAAAAAGAAAAACAAACCTTCTAAACCCATGAACATGGCTTAATTACAAGTAAAAGGTTTATGTTAAAGGGCTGTTTTTATTTGAAATAAAATCAGTTCTCATCAGGATTAGTACTCCATTTTCATTATTGTTCAAAAAATCATCATGGCTGTTCTTTGTCCCTCAGATGTATTGTTTACTGCAAACAGCATTTTTGCAATAATTGCTGAGAAGTGATTTTCAGTGGCTTGGGGTGTGGGGGAAATCTTGTGGCTGTGATTAAGGTTAAGACAGATTGTGACTGCTACAGTTATTTTTTCTTCATGATCAAAACAGACGTCTTAAGCCACTTTCTCTTCATTTTAGTTTGTGCTTTGGCTCATAGAAAATTGGCTAGTAAGGCTACCCTTCCCCTTAACATTTGACTAATGAATAAATATATTCAGTCTTTTATTTCTAAATACAAGGGACCTGTTAAAAATGCACTCATCCAGCTGCATTCTGAAGTTTTATAAGTCCCAAAGACAGGGGTTTTCTTTTTTCAGCAGAACATTTTTAAGCTCTAATCTTTTCAAGGAGAAAGACATTAAAGCTTTTCGTGGCAGCATGCCCATTACTTTATGTTCAATTATGTTACCTTCAAGAACCAAAGCTTCAGCCTAGGAATGTGAACAAAATCTTTATTTTGCACAAGAATCCGTTGTGTCCTGGCTACAAGCTTCTGAGGCTTTTCTCAAGATCTCACACTATCTTCTCATTTTAGGGAAAGAGCTGGTGCAGTTTCTCCGTTCACCAAGTCAGAGTGGTGAACAGGATTCTCTGAGTCCAGGACTGGATGGCTTTGAATTTCAAGATCTGGTGCCAGATTACGACTGCTGTGAACAGACACGTTTCTCTGTGCTCTCCAATGACAGTGGGATTGAGCGAGACTTGCCCCTTCTGGCTGATGACATGCCAACTTCCTGCAATGCTGAGACTGAGCACTCTCGGCTCCAGAGAAAGGGTTGCATGAAGAAGAAATATGCAGATAGCATAGCTTTGCTTCAGAGTAATTGCAGTGGGCAAGGTGCAAAGCCAACTGGGAAACTGCAGCGGAAATACGGTGGTAGTATCATAGAACCAATAGTTAAAGTGAAAAAACTGCATACAGCTCGGGTCTTGGTGCTGGGTGATGACAGGATACTGGGACGCCTTGCCCAGGCCTATCACTCTTTGAGGTTAGTATTGTATAATGCAGATACTTTCTCCTCAGGAAACAACCAGGTAGCAACTAGGGTACTATGTAAACCAGAGGTGGGGAACCATGGCCCCTTTATGACTAGGGGACTTCAACTCCCAGAATTCCTGAGCCAGCATGGAAAGGACCATAGTTCCCCATCCCTGATGTAGACCATATTTCCTAGCACTTCGGGTATAATTTAACAGTAACCATAATTAAAACAGTGAGATGGCAAACAATAACTGCCTTTCTCTTTTGTTATTAATATTCCAGCTATCTTTCTATGGCTGCTAGCCAACTCTTCCTGGCTTGTCAATTTTTATAAGCTGTAACTAAAACCTACCGGTACATTGCCAGGTTGGGAATGAATTCATGTTATATGAGATAGGAGAGGCTTATCTCTTTTTGTTTGTTTTTGTTTTTGTTTTCAAAATTGAACTCCTGCATCTGCACAAGGAATGTATATAACAAACTAGAAACATCTGCAGGAACAATTCTGCTTTGTAGCCTGATGTCATTTTCCTAGTGGCCTCACCATCAATTAACCATTAGCATCTTAGTTAACTACTAAAAGTCCAAGTTTTTATATTCAGGCAGCATAGTGAACGGGATGATAATAGATTGAACCACAGCATACTACAGTACTTTTTGCCGCTTCACACAAGGAAATTACTATTTCCTAATTACTTAATTGCTTTATTTCAAACTGGTGTATTTCTTTTCATTAGCACATCTAGACTGAAAGGGTGGTAAATGGGCTTTTTCTACAACTTTAGTGACATACATACATACATACATACATACATACATACATACATACATACATACATACATACTAAAAAGAGTCATCCCAGCAAGCTTTAAATGATGATAATAAAGTGTTTTAGGTGTTGCCTTAGGCATAAAAACCAGCTGGGAGACTTTGGGCAAGTCACCCTCTCTCAGCGCAGCCCACCTCACAGGACTGTTGTTCTGAAGAAAATAGTTGGAAGGAAGAGTATTTGGTGAGTTCACCACCTTGCGTTAATTACAGAATAATAAAGGCAGGAGAAAAAAACCCCAAATAAATTAATCAATAAATAAATCCATTTTGTATGAAATAGATGCCTTTTATTGAGCAGAATATATGCCCTTTCAACTCCAGCAGAAGAAAAATGAGATGTGGCAACAATTAAGCCACATTATCCATGTTTGTTCTAAAATATTAATTCTGGATGTTGACGTTACAATTCATTATCATTCATCTTAACAAGTCTAAGGACATAATATTCCTCAAATGATTAGTACTTAAAGTTTACAATGGAATTGCAGTATCTCACTGTAGTGGATGAAACCTTTTAACATGCTATAGAATGTAGTTTTTGTTAATCAATTGTCATATTATGTTAGCAGTAGGTCATATGAGGTTTGGCAACATGAGTGCTTAGATTCCCTCCCTCCCACTATTCTATAAAAAGATGTAGGGAAGAGACAAGAAAGAGGCAGCCACAAATTAAGAAATAATGAATTTGCTTTTTTTAGAGAATAATATAGATTCTTATACACCAGCTTCATAACTGTCAAAAGGATAAAGTCAAATCTCCTTTGATTAATGCTCAACACTTGATAACTTAATAGACACATTATTTTGCCCTTTTCCAAGATTTTTCCTGTCTTCCCAAGATTAGTCAATTTGATCTCTCTTGATGGTGTCCAATTCAGATATTTGTTTAGCTATTTTAAATCAGCCAAGTTACCTGAGTATTGTCAGATTACTGTAGCACATTAATAAATCTTCCAATATTTTCTCAGTCAGAATACACACAAAGAGAGAGAGACAGAAGATAATATAATGTAGCTCAGGGTTGAATTGAGAAGCCTTTGGTGCTCTGAGCTTGGTTGCAGACATTTCATTACCTGACTAGGTAACATGATCAATGGTAGTGAGTATGGGGTTTGCTATTTATATAACTACCACCGCCATCTTAGTGCTGTCCAAGCTTGGTTGTTTGCATGCAGACATTTCATTACCCAACTAAATTTCATCCCCAATGCTAGTGAGTGTGGGATTTGCTCCCCATATATAATTACACCTTCATCAAATTTCAGCCCCACCAATACTGGCAGGCCAAGTTTCTGTATATAAATAGGGAGAAAAACCTCAGACTCATTAGCACTGATTATGTTATTTAGTTGGGTAACAAGCAGGCAAATTACCAGCTCAGAGCATGCCAAGAACTCCAGAGAAAGAGAGAGAGAGATCAGTTGTTACTGAAGAAGCCTTATCAGACCTTATTTTTCTCCATGTCCAGGAAGCGAGAAAGCAGGCGGGTGTTTCTTACACAAAGGCTAAAAGTACATTTTTATTATGTGCCTCTTGTTGAAGAGCAACCAATCTCTTCCCTTATTGAGGTGAGTGACTTATAGTCGGTAGTAGAAGGGGATTTTGTGCAAGTGGATGTTGTCCTATGCAGTATAGAGTAAAACTTTGCTTCTCTTTTCTCTGCCAAAACAGGGAGAGCCATGTGAGTTGGCTGCCTATCTTGGAAGAGCTGATCCGTGGTACGAGAGCAATATTAATTCCCTCTGTTACACAATTCCGAAGCTGGCCACCATGGTAGGAGAGAAAGCCCTTCCTTCTGCATGTGTAGAAACAGCTATGAGATTTTCGGACCCATTCTTGAAATAGCAAAGGAAACCAGCAATATCACCATCCCTTAATCAGAATCCTCAGCTTATAATAGCCAACTTGACATGAGGGCTATGTATCATCCTGCTATGTTTGGGGTCATAGCCCTACCATTAACTGTCTTTTATATTTCATAAAGGTGTAGTTATTGTTGTTGGTGTAATAATGGGGACAGAGAAAGAAAGAAACATCTTACTTTCTAGTATTTTAGATGAGAGTCTACAGTATGTGATTCAGTCAAATAATATTTTTCTTAATCATACTTCTATATTTATCAGCATGTGTGCTAGAAATAGCAGATATAAATGGTGTAGACTGATGTAATCATTTTTGATCCCATGCAGCTTTCTTCACCAAGCAAATCCACACTCTCTGAATTGTTTATTATTGATGTGATTACATATTATGTGCGTCTGGGCTTACAGCCAGTTTTCTTCCAAGTCTATGCCGTGAAGGTCAGTAGTCTTTAAGGATGAAAATATTTATCAGTTTAAACAAAAATGATTATATTTCACCCAGTGAGGATGGATTCTCTTATCTTTCAGATTTTTTTTAATAATGCTGCCTTGGAGCCAGTTGAGGACATTTTCCTCACTGAGTTAAGAATAAACTTTGAAGAGTTCAACTCTTCCAGAGGTCTGTATTTCATTTCAAGATTTATTATCTATTGCACTTTCAGTTTTATTCTCAAAACCTGTAATCAGTCTTCCCTGACCAATATGTTAAAATACTGTTCCTTTCATCCCAACCCAATGAACACGTTGTAATATTTATATTTAAAAATAACCTTAGACAAACTGAGCCTATTTAATGTTTTCTCCTCTGATTACATCATTAGCACAACTCCTTGGCCTTTTTTCCTCTCCTCAACAATATTTAGGTAAAAGTTCACATGCCATTCCGTACAGAACAAACAAACAAAAATATCAAGTAGAAGAGCACTGGATGTCTCAATATTCAGTCTGTCTGTAAACTAACTGGAAAATTATTATTACTGTCATAATTGGTTGAAAGCTATGTCTTTCTCTACTAGACAATTTACCAACGAAGAAGAAACCAACAATAGAATTTCCTGGTGCAGAACTTACATTATTCTATAAAAAGGTAAGAAATTATACAAATCCTAGGTAGAAATGGGAAACTCTAGACTTTTAGGAATTGGAATTAAGTTCCAGCAAAATATTTCACCCACATCAATAACTTGAGTTTCAGTATTGAAAGTTATGCTTCAAATGTATGTAACAAGCAAGTTGACCTAATTATTTTATCTCACATTAGACTTAGAAGTTAGCTGAATTTAAATGTTCTTCAAAGAGATGACAAACATTAAGAAGAAAGCGAGTAATTTGACTTATAGACTAAGACATTATAAAGAACTGAGAGGAGATATGTAGGGTTATGCAAAGCACTCAGAAGAGACGGTTCACAAAGCACATTAGTACAAACAAAACCTTTTTAAAATATTAAAAGCACTGCATTTTTTTTACAAAGCTTTGATAGCTGCTTGATTTTCTGCTGGTATACGTGCATGAGGAAGCAACACTTTTGAGACCTCCAATGAAGCGAAGTGGCCATGGTTCCCATGTGTAGCCAGACACAGTTTTTGAAACAGTCAGATGGAGCTGGTGAAGGACATTACTGCTTTAATGCTTTGAAGTGTTCCTTTGGTGCTGATATGCTTTGTGAATCATTGCTTTCAAACACTCTGCCTGGCCCTATTCAACATAAGTGGAAAAGCGTCTGTTGGATGGATGGCTGAATAGCTTCTTCATTTTATAAAGCATAAATGCAATCATGAAAGTAAAACATCTTTCTTTTTAGGTTTTGCTGAGTAACCGTGAACAGGATGAGATGATTTCTTTGCGATCTACAGGCCTTGTTATAAAAACCATTCCTTCACGTGAATTTGAAGGTAAAAGTTATGGTGGGTTATGGAACCATCATATTCATTTAAAAAATAAAAAACAGATAGAATTGTGTTGATTATGATATACAGTATAGATGTATCATCCAATAAGTGTCAATGGAATTCCTATAAAATAGGCGGGAAAAATATTTCTATAGAATGTTCCCTATAAATTATTATTTTTAAAAACTCCAATGTGTGTCTTCCTTACTGAATATAAAAGCTCATCTACTGTATAAAAAGTGTTCAAAGATAGATTATCTTCTTTTACTGTGCTTCTCACCTGCATTTGTAATGAAATTTATGCAATCACTTTCTTCATAGAATTATAGATAGTAAACTGGGCTATATAAGCACATTTTACACTTAGCCTCAAGTCCCAAAGGCAGTGTTGCATCACTTTATAACTTTATTAACTGATTTTTCTTCTTTCTGCTAGTTTTATCTTACTATGTCCAATCTGTATCATTTACTGTATTTTAAAATGTTTTTAATTTACTTGTACTGTATACTGTCCAGAGAATTCTAACTATTGAATGTTATAACAGTAGAACAAAATAAACTAAATCAGAATGTGGTTATTCTGCTAGACATGTGAAGGGTCAGGACAAGGTCAGTACTCATTAGTTCTTCATTTTTTTCCATTGTAGATCTAGTGTGCTTGACTGTAAATATTGATGAAGTCATAAAAACCTCCAACATTTCAGGACGATCATATTCTGTAAGTGATACTGTGATTTTTCAGGAAGAGGAGCCATGATGCTAATCAATACTTGGAGAATAAGTTAGGGAAGAGGTTTCTGGATTAGTTTGGCAAATCAGGAATTTGCAAAACTGAATTTAAAATGCAGTCTATTGCTAAATTGCTGTTTGTGTCTACTTGCTATTGGAGATGTTGGTTGATCAGAGTTTCCAGAATTTCAGTTGATTTAGTAACTCGTGCTCTTTTATTTATTTTATTTTTTTCATTATTTCTAAAAAAAGTTAGACTTTGTCTTCAACTTGTTAAAGTTTGTGCATATTAAATGTTTTATATTGATAAAATTATTAGGGCAAAAAAGCTCCTTGCTTCCTTCTCACAATGATCTATAGAATATATAGCAGATAATTTAAATATCATAGTAGAAAACGCAGTTCTTCTAAGAGTATTCAATGTAGCTAAGAAGTTTTTGTTTAATATATTATTCAGTAGTAGAAAGCAAATAGTTTCATTAAACCTTTAACAAGGACTATTTCAAACCTCAGAATCCCTTGTATTTTCTGCCACATTAAAAAAAATGTTTTAAGGGACTGATGATGTAGCAGGAATAATTAACCACCTTCTCTTTAAAGGTAGTCCTTGCTTAATGACCAGTCATTTTACAACCATTCATAATTATGACTGCCACAGAATGGGTGCTATGATTCATAAAGCACCCCTGGCTATCAAAATGGTCACACTGCCCTTCCTCTATATGGTCATATGATAGCATGTTGCGCAGGTCAGCTTATGACTGGTTGTGATGTTCTGTGATCAGATGATGGCAATTCACAGTGTTTTAACGCCCTTTCAAATGAATAGGTTCACTTAACAATCATGGCATTCAATTAATGACTGCCATAAAATAGAGCAGAAAATTACTTCTGCAGATGCCTTGACTTATGATCCACATGACTTAAGATGGTAATTCTGGACTCAGTTATGGTCATAAGTTAAGGACTACCTTTAATGCTTGAGCCCCATTCCATTAATAGTTCCCTGAGCAAGGCAATTTTATTTTAAACTAGCTGTACCTGGCCACGTGTTGCTGTGGCTCAGTCTGGTTAAATGGAAAAGAAAGAAAAGAGAAAGTGCACGTTTGTGTCACAGGTGTGACATCTATATAAAGTAGGTATATAAAAACACGCGCATATTCGAATGCAACGTTGTGTCAAAATTTCAAAGCAGTCGGTGAAGAACTTTCAGAGATTTAAGATTTTGAACAAACGAACATTTACATTTTTATTTATATAGACTTAAGAAATTATAATCATACTTTTTCTGTGTTGCATCAGGTTATTTTTAATGAAGGATAGCTTTCTAAAACTGTATTTTGTGATATCAAATATGACTCATACAGTTTCCGGTGGTCCTAACAAATGACTTATTTAGCTGTATTGAGAAAATGTTTAAAAAGGGAAGACAATTCAAAACACATCTTTATTTATTTG